AGCTCCAGTGAGCTGTTGAAGATGAGTGTGAAGATGGGGGCCAGCTGATCAGCGCACACTTTCAGGCAGGAGGGGGTCACACCATCTGGGCCTGGTGCCTTTCTGATATTTTGTCTTTTAAAGAGGCCACGGACATCATTTTCACAGATTGTCAGAGATGGGGGGCTGGAGGGAAGGGTGGTGATTGTTGGGGGAGCAGCTGCTGGATCTGAGGTGGTGAGGGTGAGGGGGGAGTGTTGATTGTCAAACCTGCAGTAGAACACATTCAGGTTGTCTGCTAGTTGACGGTCCTCCACAGCAGGGGGGGATGGTTTTCTGTAGCCAGTGATGGTTTTCAGGCTCCCCCACACAGACGAGGAGTCGTTGGCTGAAACCTGAGCTTTCAGCTTTTTAGAGTAGCTCCTCTTTGCTGCTCTGATCTCCCTTGTCAGTGTGTTCCAGGCCTGGCTGTACAGAGTACTGTCCCCGCTTCTGTAAGTCTCCTCTTTGGCACGAGGAAGCTGCTTGAGTCTGGCTGTAAACCAGGGCTTGTTGTTGTTGTATGTGCAGAAGGTCTTTTTGGGCACACACACATCCTCACAGAAACTGATATAAGATGTCACAGTGTCAGTGAGTTCATCCACTAAGGGAAGTAATTGTTAAAAGATAGAGAAAGAAGAGACCTTTGATGGATAGAAATGTATAAACATAGATCCAGAAGATGACGGAGACAGGAAGATACGACATTGGATGAGAAGGTGGAGAAAGTTGAGAAAAGGAAATATTGAGTCTTGTGTGTGTCTCTGAGTGAGTCGTGTCTCTCTCTCTGTGTACATGCATGTATCAGCCTCAATCCCATTATTTTGAGTGGATGTTGGACAGGAATAAAAATGACCAAAAAAAAAAAACAAAACACCACAGACTACGTGAAAGAGGTGAGGAAGGGGTCAGACAATTAGAACAATTACTGCCCAAGTTCCAAATTAGGGGTGTCACTGGTGGCAGAATATAATTCCTATTTAACGGTTCATTTAGCTCCAAAATGCCAGCCCTAGTGTAATAGATGAAATCTGGATGGGAAGAAAGTGGAGTAGCTAGTGTGCCTCTGTGTGTATGTGTGTGTGTGTGTGTGTGTGTGTATGCCAGTGGTTCAGAGCAGAAATGCTGTTGACAGTGTAATTTGATGAAAGCTGACAGCTAATTTATGAAGCATATTTTGGGTAAATGATTTTTCCTGGTGCTACTTTCTCACTCATTCTAGACTGCTAATTGGATTTCCCTAACTTGCAAGGTAGTGAATTAGAAGCAAACTAGTTAATGAAGGATTGACTGAATGACTGACAGTGTGTGTGTAAGTGTAGATTAGAGCAGAGGAGGTTAAGTGCAAAATGTTGGTCTGTTGCATACCCAGCTATTTCTAACCACATATTGCTTTATTATAGGTAACAAATCCCACTATTCTCCTTATCTTTCTCTGTCACCCCCTCTCTGTGTTCTCTCACTCACACTAATTACTGGGAGTGTCTTTTCTTAAAGAAGCTATTGCTCAGGGTGATTCTATGCAAACTATGGGATCGATTTTCCTGTAAAAGGTTTCAGAGACAAATGCAAATCTAAACTTCAGGCAAAGGCACATATGCATGTGTCCAACAAATTTTAAAAATTTCATGATCACCAACATTAGCACATACTGGGCACAGCCAGGCACAACCAGGTGCAACGTAGAATAAAGACTGGATACAGTAATGGCCAATCAAATCAGATTCTCTCACCTCTTTAAAAAGCATGGAGGGAAACCAGAGTTTGAGTGATGTCACTTTTTTGTATATGTGTGTGTGTGTGTGTGTGTGTGTGTGTGCCTGGTATTACTGACACCGTGAGTTATATTTTCAGTGGCTCGCACTATCCCCATGTGATCAAGATGCAGAACATAAACAATGTGTTTTATAGTGTAGTGGACACAGCTACGCTGAGTCAACAGCAGCTCAGTATGGCTCTGCCACACATGCCTCAGCTCAGCAGGAGAGGTCAAAAATGCCAGAAGTCTCCAGGAAATAATTTTAAGTCAATTGAAACTCATCTGAAGTGACAGACACATGGGTCTATGTGTGTGTGTGGTTTGGTGTCGGCCCGAGAAAAATGGCAAAAAGCTGTTTTCATAATGCCAGCAAGCTTCAGGACATTCATTAATATAATGTATTCCCTAGGCTCTAACACTAACCTTAGACTAAATACCAAGCTTTGGCACAAAACAACAGTACCCCTATCATCACCAGTTGCAGCTGCACAGTTGCAATACCTCCTTTACTGCTTAAAAACTATTCAAAACCCTGTTTAACTCACTATATCCAACCATAGCACTAATCAAATGTATCAACTGTATACCTTATACAGTTAAATCGTTTCACAAGCCAACCTAACTAATCTAAATCAAACTGACACAAAACCCTACCGGACCTTGCTCAAGTATATTATAGCCAAACTGACTGAGTCTAAACAAATCTAATGCAAATAAATGTAATCCAAGTTAATCTACAAGGAATGAGTTGAGCCAGGCCAAAATAATTTTCAGCAGCTTTTTTCAATACCTCTATTAGAAATTCTAGCCCGCTAAAGACAGGACACAGGCAAACATAGATGGGCAACCAATTAAAAGAAAAACCAACATATGGTGTCTTTGTATGGTGCTGGACCATAACAAGCCACCAGAACATCTGTAAGCCTTCTTTGCATAGATTCTGCAGAAGGCTGGGACTGAAATGCTGCCATGGAGATCTACTTTTTCAAAAGATATTTTCATTTGTGTGTGTTGATGGTGATGGTAGCAGTGTGTGACACCTTTGCCCAGAATCTTTAATAGATCTGTATTTGCTGGGTTAAGATCTGGTGAAGTCCTATTAATATTATTTCCATACTTCAAACTATTCAGTGATCTAATATGGATGGATTTTTATTTATTTATTTATTTCTCCCCTTTTATAGTACTCCCAGTCAGGAGGGAAGCTGAACAAACTCCCTTTACTTTTAATATGAATTTATCATCAAAACCTGGCTATGTGACAAAAAAGCAAACATTCTGTCTGTTATACTGCTGAACACTTGTGTTTGAGTTAGCGGTGAATAAAGATGCCACCTATAACCTTTACCTGGAGTGTTGAGCAGTCTGGACTTTTGACAGCTGTAGGCAATTTGCTGCTCACAGTATTCTGCACTGGTGGTGATGGCTGTCACCTGGAAACACAAGCAAGGATATGTATTTTCATTTTATCTTATTCAGCCAGACAGGCCACTTTCATGTGAGACCAAATTATTGAGCTGCAAAATGAAACAAAGTGCACTGTAATGTTGTTTTAATTTAGCTTCCCAATGATTTAGATCGGTTGAAAATGGACCAAGTGATCCATACAAATTAGAAGGGAACATAATTAAAGGAAGGATACGCTACTCAAACCTTGTCACCTCACGGAACACAGTGGCCTTGTACATTTTGCAGGTAAAAACTGCTGTCACTCCTCACTGGAGTGTGTGGAACCTGTGAAGTTCACCCACATTTTGATTTTGACTGAGAGTGACAACTGCAATTTATAACCACTCACCAGAAAGATTAAGGTATTGACTCCTGAGTGTGAGAGAGCAGATTCAGGCAGTCTGAGTTGCATGTAGCAGAAATACAGCAGGAGACATGAGATGAAATACTCTTTATGTAGGGTTATCATTGTAAATTTGAAAGAATAAAGACTGAATCAGTAGAAGGCTGCAGTGTGAATTTGAATTACAGTTTTTATTATATTTATTCACTAGCTGTATAGTATATGAGTACAGAGATTATATAATGCTGTTGTTAATGGTTAATGCAGGTTTGTCAAAATGTTGGAGAAGAAATATTGGTTTATAGCTAAAATTGTGTAAGAATGTGGTTTCAGACATCACTGTTACGGTTGTTGATACATACTGCATAAAGAGCTCACTCATGTAGTCACTCACATCATTTTAAATTCAACCCCTTTTGTGCAAAAGTCCAAACAGGAGAAGGAGGAGAAAAAGAATTAAAATTTACTAAAGAAAGCATAAGCATTCTGAATTGTTATACCCAAGATTATGTCCACATGGACACCAAAGTGCCATTTGGCGTTTGGACTTAGTGATCAAATTATATTGTGGGCGTAACATACCATATATTTTAATACAATTCAACTACACTACATAAACCACTGTAAAAAAGATTTTGTTAGAAAAAATCTTTCAAATCACTATGTGCTGTGCCTTCTAAATCACATTCTTAGATAGTTCTGACTTGGTTTATACGTCTTTGGTTAAAATATCTGTCTTCCCAATCACAGCATATGACTAGCTATGCACATGAGAGAAGTGGAGGCTGTCTGTGTCAAGTTGTTGCTAAAATCGGTGGCCTAGAATGCAACCACTCCACTTAAAATACATGAGCAGAAATTACAGTAGGTCCATCTAGCTGGAAACTAACAATAAAAAGCATGAGTTTCAGAATACATGATAATCATTGTGTGCGACTTGTAGGAGTCTATTACAGGGTGAATATGTAATAACAGATTTTTCAAACGCTTGTTTTTTCATTGTATTACAAGTAATGTCAGTTTTACTTTATGGGATACAGCATATAAAAGCATCTATACATTTTATGTGCATTATTTAAATTTTTTTGTTGGGTTTTTTAAAATCTAAAAATGCAAATGCTACACTAGGCAACACAAGACGTTCTCTGCATAATGCATCTCTGGTGTGTGTATGTGTGTGTTACCTGGTCCATAGAAGCACTGTAGTTGACTTGTAGGACAGTGCGTTTCTCTCTGCTGGAGCCGCTCACTGCAGTTTTGGGTGGCAGATTGTTCATAACTGTTGTCCATACTTTGTCCTCTATCCATACAAACACATAAACAAATTAAGCAACTAAATTATATTATATGGCTTCAAAACTATTATGCTGCAAAAATCAAACATATTAGACATAGTAGATAATTAGTTCAAATAAATGTACACCAATTACATACACTGACACTTGCTAGATCCACTCACATCCTGATATACTGGCACATACTGTATGTGTACATAGAAAACTGCGATTTAGCTCCCATGGCAGTGATGTTCTTTTTGTGTCATCTAACTGTCAGATTTGAGACTCCAGGGCTTAATAAACCCTTCTCTACTGTTATGGTAGGAGTTAGTCACTCAGACATCTCACTGTTCATTCACACTTTCAGCCAGGTGTATGTATGCGAAGGAAAATAAGAAACTCAACATTTCTGAGGTGTGTGTAAGTGTGCGATTCAGCGTAACTAAGGGGCTAGCCAGCGGAGTGCAGTGACATTTCATTAAAAGCCTTGCCTTCGCTCTGCCTTAGTGCTCTGCTCTCCCAGACTACCTATTTATTTCACTCTGTGTGTGTGTGTGTGTGGAGGCGGGGAAGTGTGTGTGTGTGAGTGTGTGTGTATGGCAGAAGAAGCATCACTTAAATTGTTAGAGCACTCTTAGGTTTGCATAACAGGTCCAATTCATATGTATTGGTCGTGTATTTGTGTGGGTGTTTATGCATGTGTCTGTAAAGGCTCCTTGAGTTAAATGTCAGTAGCTGTGACTGTGTTGCCATGGAAACCCAATGTATAGCAGGTTAAAAGTGCTGCTTCCTGAAGTTAGCAATGAGTAGGACTGGGGGGGTTTCTTTCCTCACAGGTCACTGGGGCTAGATAGAGTAGTAAAGTGTGCACACATACACACCTGTCATGTTACAGTTGACTTTGAAAGGGCTGAGGGGTCCACTGCCATCAGGGTCAATCCAGTAGGTATCAGAAGATCTGCCCAAATGCTTATAGGCTTCACATGATGGCTCATAGATAGCTGGGTATGGGAGATGAGACAACGATAAGTAAGGGGAAAAAACAAGACTCCTGCAGTAGTCCATAGCCAGTGAAGTTGTAATGCTAATTACTAGAGATGTTTGACATCAAGTGACACTTTGGCTGAGGCCATAATTCTGAAAATGTGATGGTACCTCTTTTTACTGTAGTTATCAAATCTACAAAACATGTCATAGATACTGGAGATGTGATTCTTCTGAGACTGACAGGTGCATGATAATAACAAATGGAAGAGGAAGAAGAGAGGCAGACAGCAAAAATAAGAGCAACGAATGGTGTGGTGGTGGCAAGTGCGGCTGCAGCAACAGTCCCCCTTGGCACTTGTGGGGAAAACAACAACAACAAATCACAACTAAAAGTCAGTATGCAAACAATGTCGCAGAATATTTTGAATTAAAGACTTAGGCCTATCTAAAAAGCTCAAAGACAGGCATCCTGAGGAAGGCAGCCTACATAGAGTTCAATGTGAGCGGGTTTCAGTTGTTAACTTTATGTTAAAGGTATCATCTGTGATTCTGGCAAAAGGCTTTATATTTACATCAGAACACAAACAAAACCACAGTTCCCTTCAGTTAGGGCTGTACAACTGTAGCCCCGTGAGAATTCATGAACATGTATTATTACAGCAATGATACCAGCCATGTTCCCATTATTATGGTATTGTGTTGTGAATTGTGACAGCTGGCATCTGTTGCAGTGCTCCACGCTGGCTATTATTATATTGTTTAAGCTAACATAGCAATGCCTAATAATGTGAGCTGGGGGCACATGTTAGTAGGCTGCTGTCATTACCTTCAATCTGTCAAAATATACAGTAGTATTTGCTTTTAGATTAATATTTTCACTGTCACCATGTGCTTTTAGTTTTGATTTCTTTCTTTCTCCCGCTGCTAATTTTGAATCAAAAAAGATGGAAAGGGCTCAGTTACAGTTCATGTTGTTTTATAGAATTTTTGTGTTCAAATTCATTTTATTTAAAAGTCTTTATTTGACACCTAGAAAGAGTTTGGTTTTGTATAATGCATACAAGTTAAACACTTCTAATCTCTTAGTTTCCTTATTTTATATTGTGTCTTGTTAAGATATATAGTATTACATAATGATATTGGAAAAATATCCATAAAACAGCATTTTTATTAGATGTATGAAAAATGGGAAGACAATATTTGCATTCTTAGATCCTAGTGGTGCAAAAAATGTTAAGTTTGGCCTGAGGGTGGTAGCAGTATTTAGGACATAATTTTTATCTACAGTTAAATCAGAAGCAGTGATCCTAAACACTGACATGTGTGCAAGGCAGTCATTCTCACTGTCTGTCCTGAAAGTGACACTAGAGAAGAGGTTGTTATGGTAAGCTATTCAAATAAATTTTGGATATCTTGTATAAGGTCAGGAATCAAGTCATGATGTTATTCTGTTCCCATATGTTGCTCACAATAACAACAGCATGACAACACAGATGATACATCTCACCTATGAATGCCTGAATCTGTATCTCTCCATGTGTTGCTCTGCATGTATTCCATATGCTTTAATCTATATTTTTATTATATAATAAAAAAATAACAAAATTGTAGAATTTTTGAGTGGATCTAAAACAGCACACCATGGTTTTCTTTTTGCCCACAGTTTCATGTCAGTCTCTATCCAGTGCCTGTCAAGGAGTGAAGTCTTGCCTCACACTCTAGCAATCAATCTGACAACATATCGATGTTATGTTTGTATTGCTCTGCACACACAGAGATGGGAAGGCTGGGAGAATTGGAAAGAAATGTGAGAATGTGACTCTGAGTGAAACTTTTGTGTTTCAGGTGAGACTGTTCACACACTTAACACTGAGTTTAAAAAGAAAAGAAAATGTATTTTTCTCTCTCTTTTTGTTTGCTTAGTATTACCTTTGCACTAGCTGTAGTTTTTCCATTCTTGTTTCTTCCATTACATCCCCTAATGAGCTGATAATTGGACTTTTGCTTGTTCATATCCCTCTTCTCATCCAGGAGCTTAACAATGCTCTTGCATTAGTGCTACTGACCCTGCTTAACTATCACACCAGGATATGTACAGACTGCATCAAAATTGCTGAGGCACTGCTATTAACCAACACTTCTCCTAAAATTGCTTCACAGCAGTGGGATGAAGGAGGATTCAGAGGCTAACACAGAAGGAACCAATGTTGTGCCAAGTTAACAAAAGAATAAAATGCTAGGATGGCAGTAGTGATAACTCCAAAAAAAGAGGTCTAATGCTCTTAAAATGTCCAGAAAAAAAGCACACTTGTGTTTTACCATAACCTGCAGTAGAGCTGAAGATATCTTTCAACATGCTCCACATATTATTTTAACCATATAGTTTTGTTTCTCATATTATTCAAACTCATCTGTCCCTCTGCAGTACTGTAGCTTCTCTAACCTGAACTTTTTTCTTCCTGTTTTTTCAAACTTAAGTTATTTTTAATCTGTTGTATGTACACAATATTGCCGAATGTTTTTTTAAATCTCAATCTCCCTTTAAAGAGAACAATATTTGAGGAAAATGGAAGGAGGCATGGCATTCTCAAATTTCTAAGCCTTTGCAAAAAAAAACTTCTTTCAGCTAATTCTCTTTCTGTGCTCTTGTTGTGTGCTGGTGCTTTTGGTTGGATTGCGTGTTCTCAAAGCAGAACAAAACGCACAGCACACTGACAAAAGCCTGGCCTCTGAACACTTCAAAAGTTCATCTCTCTGCTGAAAATTGTGGCTTTAGAATGAAAAGCAGTCTAATCACTCAAAGGCAAAGAGATGAAGGCCAACTCAAAGAAACCCAGAAAGAAGAGAACAAAGTAGTGTTAAAATAAGAGGACACAACTCAGATGAACACAAAACGTCATTTATACTTGGACTACTTCTCCCCTATAGATCTCTCTGACTTGACCTCAACAATTGCTTCATCTAAATCATCAACATGTCTCCTGGACCCCATCACGACCAGGCTGCTCAAAGACGTCTTTCCCCTAATCAACACATCCATACTAGATCTGATTAAGCTCTCTCTATTAACAGGTTATGTTCCACGGGCTTTTAAGGTTGCAGTAATCAAACCTCTACTCAAAAAGCCTACTCTTGACCCAGGTGTCCTAGCTAATTATAGACCAATATCCAATCTCCCATTTATTTCCAAAATCCTTGAAAAAGCTGTTGCAAAGCAGTTATGTGACCACTTGCACAAGAATGATTTGTTTGAGGATTTTCAGTCAGGATTTAGAGTCCATCATAGTACAGAAACTGCATTGGTGAAAGTCACCAATGATCTTCTCCTAGCCTCAGACAAAGGACTTGTCTCCATACTTGTCCTCTTAGATCTCAGTGCTGCTTTTGACACCACTGATCACAGCATCTTACTGCAGAGACTTGAACATGTTATTGGGATTAAAGGAACTGCACTAAGTTGGTTCAAATCTTATTTATCAGAAAGATTTCAATTTGTTCATGTTAATGACGAATGTTCCACACAAACTGAAGTTAGTCACGACGTTCCACAGGGCTCTGTGTTAGGTCCAATTCTCTTCACTTTATACATGCTCCCTTTAGGCAATATTATCAGGAAGCACAACATAAATTTCCATTGCTATGCAGATGATACTCAGTTATATTTATCTATGAAGCCAAATGAATCAGATCAGCTGGTCAAACTTCAAACATGTCTTAAAGACATAAAGGCCTGGACGACCTGCAACTTCTTACTTCTAAACTCGGACAAAACTGAAGTTATTGTGCTTGGGCCTGAAAACCTTAGAAATCTGCTGTCTAATCATATAGTTACTTTAGATGACATAGCTCTTGCCTCCAGTACTACTGTGAGGAACCTTGGAGTCATCTTTGATCAGAATATGTCCTTTAAATCACACATAAACCAAGTCTCTAGATCTGCCTTCTTTCACCTGCGCAATATTGCAAAAATCAGGAGCATCCTGTCTCAAAGTGATGCTGAAAAACTGGTCCATGCATTTGTTACTTCCAGGCTGGACTACTGTAACTCTTTACTATAAGTATATCCCAATAATTCCCTAAAAAGCCTCCAGTTAATCCAAAATGCTGCAGCCAGAGTACTGACAGGAACTAGCAAGAGAGATCATATCTCTCCCATATTAGCTTCTCTCCACTGGCTCCCTGTAAAATTCAGAATAGAATTTAAAATCCTTCTCCTAACATACAAAGCCCTTAATGACAAGGCTCCATCATATCTTAAAGACCTCGCAGAGCCTTATCATCCTAACAGAGCACTTCGCTCTCAGAGTGCAGGTTTACCTCTCTCTCTCCCTGTACCTTTCTGCAGGTTGCCCTGGCCCTGGAGCTCTACGTCTCTGACGAGCAGTCACCAGCCATATCGACCTGATCAGTGTTTGATTGTTGTGTCTTGTTGCTTTTCTTCTTTTGTCTCTCCTCTTTCCACTCACCCCATCCGGTCGAGGCAGAAGGCCGCCCACCAAGAGCTGGGGTCTGTCGGAGGTTTCTTCCGTTAAAGGGAGTTTTTCCTCCCACTGTCGCCAAGTGCTTGCTCAAGGGGGATTTGTTGGGTTTTCCCTATGTAATAATATTGATAACAGTAAGGTCTAGACCTTACTTTGTAAAGTGTCCTGAGATGACTTTTGTTGTGATTTGGCGCTATACAAATAAAATTTGATTTGATTTTGATTTGAAAAGTGCTTGCACATACCCCCATACTTACATGTGTGACACGTGGCTCCAGTGTATCCTCTACCATCACAGGTACAGCTGAAACTCTCCCATGTCTGTCTACACCGGCCTCCGTGTTCACAGTGGTTAGGCATACACCTGGAGATAGGGAGAGAGACCGAGTATATTTAAACATTTACAAGACATGTGCTGCCTTAAAAATAAGGAAAAAGAAATAAATAATAAAAGTATGCAAAGGTCAGAAACTATCAGAGGCCATGAAGGCCATTAATCAGATATTTGCCAGATGAATTTTCTTGCTGCAGTTCAGTGGCCACAGTTTAAAAAAAAAACCTGGAAACTTGTAGAGGCTACAGCATTGAGCACACGGTAGTAAAGATGTCACTGTTGTTCTTGTTGAACTTTTAATATCAGCACAAACCCCAGACACATCCAAGTTCTGTGGTTTTATCTACCCGCAGCACCAATGGGGATGGATCCTGTAGCACTGCAGTCTTAGACTTGGGCTTTACACACACACACACACACACACACGTTCACACATACTCACACACAAGTTATGCAGTTAAAATATGTGTTTATTCGAAACATGTTTATTTGAATTAGAATGACGTTAACAGGAAATCTAGATGAGGGAAAAAAACTATGACTCATTAGATTGACAGGTTCCTTCAAATTGCTTAATTGCTATTTTGTCATATATGGGGGTTGGGAAGGTACATAAACAGCACAAAGACACTGCATCCCTGGAGACATTTTTTAAATTTGTGAAAAAGTAAAAAAGAACCTGCTACACAACAAAGCTTGTAAGTGTTACTAAAGGAATAAAATGCTGGTATGTTTTATTAATATAGTGTATATGGTACTGTATACTGTATGCAGTCTGTGTGTGTATGCAAGCAATCAGTAACATGTGCAGAATAACAAGAAAAATGACATGGGGATACTGAATCTTTGTGACTGTTCTGCCTGAAAAACGTTCCAGTGGAAAAAGTAAAGAACTTGAAATGGGAGCACTGAACCCTCTCGTCATTCATTTTTTCATTCAAATCATGTTAAACCATGACTTTGCTATTTTATGTACTTTAAAAAAATCTAATATGCATGTGATCCAAGTGTGTCAAAACATTTTGTAGCTTCAGCAGGCTAACAAGTGCAGATGGTATTGTACTTTCACAATGGGCTGCTATAAGCACAAAAGACATTATCCTCGGTAAGCTGTGAGTGACCAAAGTAGACCAACTATATATGCTCTGAGAAAAAAAGGAACAGCTGCTAAGACAAAGGAACACTTCTAGAGAGTGTGAATGCTTTTATGTGCTACTGCACTACTGCATGTGTTGTTGTGATACTCTTACAGAATATGGTGGCAGCTGTGGCTCAGGGTGTAACGCAGTAATCCCCCAACCTGAAGGTCGGCAGTTTGATTCCTGTTCTCCATATGTCAAAGTGTCCTTGGGCAAGACACTGAACCTCAAGTTGCACCTTGCAGGGACAGCACTACCATCAGTGTGTGTATGTGTGAGAGTTGGCGCCACAGATGGCTGCCTCGGTTAGGCACCGGAGACAAATTCCTTGTGTGTGCAACATCCTTGGCCAATAAAAGTGATTATCATTATCATATCAGTGACACTGTGGGGTATAGGAATTTGCATGCACACAGCCTTTCCCCTGTGTGTCTGTCTGTGGTAATGTGTGTGCATGTTTTCCTTCCTGCACCATCTCAGGCTAAACAGAATCCTAAAGTGAAAGGACATTGATCAAAAGAGGTCAGACAGGGCTATTGAACTGCCTTCAAAGACATTCTGATTAGTTAGATGGCAACAATGTACCCATTCATCTTCCATGGCAGAACAGCACACACTTCAAGTACTGCACTGTAGGGCTGATGCACAATGTTTGAAGGAATAGAGATGGGCAGTACTAAAGGTATTGAGAATAAATAACTGTTGTGGACATCTTAAGACCTTCACAAGAGTTTCACCCAAATATGTTTTCCAAATTCTGTTTTAAAGTGAGGACAACATTGATCTAAGTCAGTCAGTGGTAGCTGGATTTTACTTCTCTGGGGAGGGATGAAGGTGAGTGTTATCAACAAACCTAGCATGAACACACATCACCCAGTTTGAGGAAAATGCTATTCCAGGCAGTCACCTCCTACTGTAACTTATAACTTCCCAGTCTTGCTCATAATGTAATTCATGCAGTTATTAATAATCACTGTTACAAGGGGAAGGACACATAACAATGACTGCAATCTTCTTTATGTCCAACGCATGACTACCACTGAATTCTTATGTAAAACAGGGCAAGGCCTAATCTCTTAAGGTTATACCAGTCCACAAAGTTTGCATGTATTGCACAGAGCCATCTGATTTAGTGTAAGGTAGGACTCAAATTCAGCTCATGGCATGAGTGAGCCCATATATGGCAAATCCATTGTAATATGTTTGTCTAGTCCATGACAAGGAAATAAATTGAAATGTCAACAAGTTGTAATGAATGCTTCCAGTGAGCCAACACTGGTACGTGCTGTGCAGAATCTCCACCCCTGTTATACTTGGCAATAAAATTGAGAGATGTATGGCTCAGTTTTGATGTTTGATTAAGATCATTCAGTGTTTTCCAAGGATAAAAACTATGCTTAATTTCAAGTTTAAATAAAAAACAAATATATATAGTGTCTACAAACATCCCTTTACACTGTGAATCCACCCCATCAATTATATTCATCTGACAAACAAAACCAGAAAAACATATTGTTTTGCAGTTACACACACAACAACCAGAGTCCTGAGTCATACGTCTCTGGATAAGAACTGAGAGACTCTACATAATTGTATTGTTTAGTATACGACTATTTCAATTTAAAACCATTTGAAATATGACACTCATTTTTTTGTGCTCTGTATACATTTCCATTTATGAATGATTGTGTGGATGCATATGAATGCAGGAACGATCAGTATTACCTGTCTATGATTGCACACATGTCCAGGCTGACATTCTCAAAAGCTCCCGCAGTGCCCTTTTCCACTGCATGCAAATCAGCAGGTTGGTCATCCACCAGGATTGCCTGCATGCAGCCCTGGAAGGAATGCTGGGAGGGCGGTGACAGTGTCTGGAGAAAATACCCTGAAACCCATACATAAAAGAAACAATAGTACAACATAAAACTTCACATTTTTTACTATTACTAATCACAGATAACAGGAGATGAATAAACTGAACACTGGAAAGAATTTGAGATGGCACAGAAACAAAGGGAATGTGAGTAGAAGACAAAGATCAAACTTAACATCATCCTTGACAAAGAAAAACAGACCTGCCCAGTACCTCATTACTGTCACTTTGCACGAACTTTCAAAAGTCCTCTTATTTTAGAGCTTAATCACAATGCCAGAGAGTATTAATACAGGCCCTAAGGATGCAACATATTAGAGGATATAGGTTTTACTATACACAGTGCCTTTATGAGATACAAGAGTCAATGACCCATCCAGAACTAGCACTGGGCCTTGACTGAAATGAGGACAAGCCTGGGACAAAGCCATAAGCATATGTGTGAGTGTGTGTGTGTGCTAACTCTTCTGCAAATGTCCATGGATATAGGTGAAATGTGTGTGTAACTCACATGTGCAGTATATCTTCATGCACTTGTGTACAGTGCATAAAAACACTGTATATAGAATGTGTGTGTGCGCATCTTATTACAGCGTACATGCACAGTTGGATATAGGAGATGGGATTTAACCTTTGCCACAAGCACACGGGCCACTCATAAAACATTGCTGCTCCATAAAATCTCCATCAGTGTGATGTTATATGCTGTCACACTCTCCAGCTTGCCTATCAGCCTCAAGGCTAAAGCATCAAAAAGGCTTATTATAGACAACATACTGTATGCACTGAGGACCAGCATAATTGTAGTTTCTGTGGCTGGTTTTCATGCCAGCAAATAAAGCAGCAAGGAAAATGTATGTGCCTGAGTGGGTGTTTGTGCTGAATTCATCTCTTTCTTCATATCTTCTGACATTCATTCCCTCCCCCAAAAGTTTCCCCTGTCATCCTTGCCATCTGTCTCTTCTCCTGCCACATCTGTCTGCTTTCTTTCTAGAGGAGTGGAGATAGACCGACAGACAGAGAGAAAGGAAGAGAGGGAGAGATGGAAAGGGAGAGGGAAGATGGGAAACAGAGCAGACTACAGCTGGCTGGCAGCACTTTGTGTCCTGTGGATAGCATATCAATGCAAAGGAAATGGAGTCTTCCTGAAAGTTTGGCAAAACGAATGAAGCAATGCATGAAACAATGCATGGGTGGAGGTATGTTGCTGGGCTGTAGACACCACCAATGTGATATTTTCTCAATCCAACTAGACAAAAACCTCCTATTCCTTTGGGTTTCACCTGTTTTCAGCCTATATGCTACTAATTTTTTATGGAGAGAATTTTTTAAGATACACATCTGAAAATGTCTGTTAGTGATATGCTTTATCTGATACATTTTGGATCAAAAGTTCATTACTGGGCAGTAAGATAAGAAAAAAAAAGATGATAATCTTGATATCTGGAGAAATAGATTGAGTCTTTCATAAGAACCCAAACATCTATGAAATCCCTCACTTCTTTCTGCAATCCACCTTTTAAAAGTATCCCAACTTCTATCACAACAATAGTCATCCTTTAAATGCGGTGAAAGCAATATGTTTTCCCTTATTGGCAAAGCAATGGCCAGTAATGATAACGTTTATGTGCTGTTATCAGTTTGTCCTGCAGTCTTCAATTCTATAAACCTATTTCCCCAAGAAACCATAAAGGCATATTTCTTTTGTGCTTTTTGAGAAAATATAGCGCTGTAAAATTCAGAATATTGTAATGAAGTTGTAGTGATAAACAGAGGAAGATACAGAGCAGGATTGATGAGGTGGAGTCTGACAGAGACACACAATTGGCAAACAAAACACTGATGTGATCGAACATCCGTACAAGCTATTCATAACCTATATCAAAGTCAAGACTGTCTGACCATATTTTATTTTATTATTTTTTGTGTACAACAATCCACTGTGATTTTAACTTGTAGCATAAACAAAAACTATTTTCTCAGCATTTGTACAGCAGCAATAATTGACACCCCCTGTTGTGCCAAAAGAGCTTCTCTTACAATACACACTAGAAAACCAGCAGCAGCTCCCTTCTACCTGAACACATCAGACTGGCATGACTGCATCTCATGCCACAGAACGCTTGTTTCTGCATTCCGACACATTTAGCCGTGATGTATCTGTTTCCAAAAGAGACAAGTTGGGAATCTGCCAAAATGCTCAGAGGTAAAAATGAAACAAAAACAAACACATTCTGAGGGTGCAACTCTACAGCATATTCAAAAGACAGAAAAAAAAATTGTTGACAAAAACAATATGTCAATTCACACAAAATCCATATTCACACCAGGATACAACTTTGCTTATCTACTGAACAACTGCTACTCTTTCTCCTTGTGCCATTTTATTTAGGTGTAAAATACAATAAAACCCTGCAATATACACCTACAGTAGGGCACCTTATGAAGCACCTTCAAAAGGAATATAACATGAATGCATGTCAACTATTGCTGCACATTTGTCAAGAACTATATGTACCAGCCGTGGCAGAGGTGCACATAAATGCAAGTGTGCAGCATGCACGCACACATACACATGAACAAAACCACACAACATAGATGTACAGACAGCTCCTCTTTGATAAACGTGGGTGTCAGAATCATTTCTAATTCATCACAACCTTCAAGACAAACAAGAAGAGGTGCCAGTATGTACATGGAGTGCTGAGCATGCTGTATGTTCGGCTGATTAGAGTGTTGTCATGCCATTCATTGGCTATTACCAGTTTTTATCATGCTCATAAATATGGTTGATGAGGCAGCTACCGCACTTCCCGATGTCGATATAAGTGGCAATGAGGTGACCTCTGCTGGCCTAGTAATTGTGACACAATCAAAGGATGAAATGAGGTGATATAGTATATAAAGCAATACAGTCTACAGAATGTTGTGAAGCAAAATTCTGACCTTTTAAAAATGCTGCTTAGGCACCTCCTGCACTTCCCAATATTGATAGATGTGGTTATTATGTAACCTCTAGCGGCCATAATAATTGTGACATACACAAAGGAGGAAATGATATGATGTAGTATATAAAGGGTAAAAGTTAGGAGGAGGCTGCTGTGAAGTGAGGCAGGCATGCCCTGGGGTTATTATTGTAACCATGACACAAGGTTTATGGTGTGATAATATATTGAACCTCCTAGTAGGTGGAGCAGGAACGTCCTGAGCCATAACTATGGTTCAATAACAAGTGATTATGGGCCACTGAATGTCATGATAACACCCAAAGTGGATGATACTCTATGTTATGTATATCACTAATATACAGTATTGTCAGTATTACCATTATGTAACTCATTCAAAATTTCCTATGACCTGTTTTAATTTGGGTGCAGTAGCTTGTTCTGCAGAGGTCCAGCAGAGAAAAGATTGGCAGGAGTAACTGATTAAACTTCTACTGAAAATTTCCATCCATCCATCCATCTTCTACCGCTTCATCCGGGACCGGGAGAGAAGATTTCATGATTCTGTATTTTTTATTCTCCACTGAATTTTGCTAACTACTTTATTTGCCAATCCGAGATAGCCTAATGTAGCTCAGTCAAGCTAACGTTTTACTGAGAAAGAAACATTTTTTTAGTAAGAGTTACTGTAATTATGCATTGTTTCCTATGGAATTTTGTGTTTTGTGGTGTTTAGTGATAATGATAAAAATTAATCGAATGTTGCCCTTATAACAATCTCTATTTGAAAATTTATGAGATACCAAAGAAAGACATGCTGTGATAAGTGGAACCATGAATTCTGCTGTGTACCAAAATATCCTGAAGGAGAATGTCCGGCCATCCGTTTGTGACCTCAAGCTGAAGCGAACTTGGGTTCTGCAGCAGGACAATGATCCAAAGCACACCAGCAAGTCCACTTCTGAATGGCTGAAGAAAAACAACATGAAGACTTTGGAGTGGCCTAGTCAAAGTCCTGACCTGAATCCAATTGAGATGCTGTGGCATGACCTTAAAAAGGCAGTTCATGCCCGAAAACCTTCCAATGTGGCTGACTTACAACAATTCTGCCAAGATGAGTGGGCCAAAATTCCTCCACAGCGCTGTGGAAGACTCATGGCAAGTTATCGAAAACGCTTGATTGCAGTTGTTGCTGCTAAGGGTGGCCCAACCAGTTATTAGGTTTAGGGGGCAAACACTTATTCACACAGGGTTTTGTAGTTTTGGATTTTGTTTTCCCTTAATAATAAAAACCTTCATTTAAAAACTGCATGATGTGTTTACTTGTGTTATCGTTGACTAATATTTAAATTTGTTTGATGATCTGAAACATTACAGTGTGACAAACATGCAAAAAGATAAGAAATCAGTAAGGGGGCAAATACTTTTTCACACCACTTTAATGTATGTTCAATAGATGAGCAGAAGATATGCAACACATAGGAAGAGGAGCATCTGATCTGATGGGAACAGAAGTCCTGAGATCTCACAAAAATTTAGGAAAATCAAAAAATACTACCTGAGTAGATGAACAGAGGTTTATTTAATTCAGCATTTTGTTTTGTCTGAGCTCTGACTGTATGTATTTTATTACTCTCCCACCTGAGTTGAACATGTGTAAAAGACTTCTCTCAATACAAGGACAGATGAAAGAAAACAAAATAAAAATTGCACTGTCAGACAAACTGAACAATTCCAATTTACTAGGACTAAGAGGTTTCCTTCTTACTTCTGGAAGCCTAATAATAAATCATTTTGGGGAAAACCGTGGAACTGTATTTATGGTCAGCAGATTTGTTTATTAAAGGCTGACTGAATGTTCTGAGTATTTAAGCAGCTATTTTCCTCTGTACTTCTCCTTGGAAAGTACTGGGGCTCACGTCACTCCAAAGTGTTACAAGGTACAAAGATTTTTTTAAATACTTTACATTTTTAGTATACTAAAAATGTACATGCTATGGTGACCAAAATTTTACTACGTGGTGTACTGCACATTATAATAGGAAAACTATATAAAAGAGCACCACATACTATAAGACTGTTTATTCATGGATTTAAAACAAATCGAGTGGAAAACCATTGTTTCAAAAGTGAAAAGTGAAGAGAAGAAGAAGCAGTGAGACAAGAAAAAGGCTGCAACAGTGGTTTGGAATAACTTAGCAAAGTTTAAAAAAAATGGTTGGAAAGTGGAGATCGCAAAACTAATAAAGAAAATGCCACTTTCTCTCTTGCACAGAAAAAATGCATGACTTTATGGCTTTGTGCATGTGCCTGTGTATGTGTCTGTGAGTTTCCCTCTGTCTTCTCTTTTAAATTTGCGGATGCCTCATTACAGTCATGTACTAATTTCTCTAACCCCAGTGACAGGAGCAACTACTCTCTGTAAAATAGGCTTTGGATTCAGGAGAATGCTTCTAAAAGCAGATGCTTTTAGAAATATAAAGGGGTGGAGATGAGAGTTGAAGACAGGAGATGAGAGAAGACAAAGGAAGAGGTTGATTTGGTCAACAAGGATAAGAAGGAAGAGAGGAAAGGGGATAGGATGAGTGCCAAAACAGAAGAGAAGATCAACTGAAAAACTGGAGAGGACAAGTAGACAAGAAGACATGAGAAGTGGAGAAAAGAAAAACAGTAGAGACAGAAATAGTTAAGGAAGAGGGCAGAGTTGAGGGTAAGATGACGCAGGCTCAGACCCAAGTCTTTTCATTCCTCTGTCATCCAAAGTAGTCACTGTATTGTGTTGTAGATTAAATTTTAAAAGGATAAAATTACCTTTTTTGCCAGTCAATAGCTTATATTGACAAAGTGAAAACATGTAATAAGAAATTTTTGTACATTTCCCAATAGTGAAAAACTGAAATTTCTCATTTACAAGAGTATTGAAACCCTTAATTGATTACTTGGTAGAAGCCCTTTTAAGCAGCAATTACAGGTTTAAGTCTCTACAAGCTTTGCACCCCTGCAGTCGGGCAGTTTATCCCATTCTTCCCTGTAGATCGATCCTCTCAAGCTCTGTCAGATTGGATGAAATGTGTGTGAACTGCCATCTCTTCTCTTCTCAGATGTTCTATGGGGTTTAAATCTACGCTTTAGTTGGGCCACTCAAGGACAGTCAGAGGCTTGTCCTGAAATCTCTCCAGTGTTGTCTTGGCTATATGCTTCATGTCATTGTTGTTGTTAAAGATGAACCATCGCCTCAGTCTCAGGTCACGTGCACTCAGGAGTAGGTTTTCTTCAAGGAGCTCTATGTTTTGGGGTTTTCTTAATCAGTCACCATGTCTCTACCCACTGAGAAGCACCCCTACAGCATGATACTGAAACTGCTATGTGTCTGAAGCTCTGTGAATACAGAGCTTTAGAAATAGCTTTATACATAACAAGCTAAAGAGAGCACAGCGTAAAACAACATAAATGAGTGCCACATTCTATTCACATGAGATCAGCCAAGGGGTCATTAGTTACAAATTTCAATTTGAATGCATCATTAGCAAACAATCAAATGTGTGGTTTGCTAAAACTTAAATATTTGTTAGCTGATAACAAATGTTTCATTTATGTCCAGAATGTCATATTTTATAATATTTTCAAGTATCTCCTGTTCACTCAATCATAGCCTTGAACTGAAATTATATTTCAAATGTCGAAATTGTAGGTGGCCAAAAATTCTACAAGTGGCCTCAAAGTGTATCTGTATTCTGTAGAATAAAATAATAAATTAAGAAAGCAAAAATGTCTGGCTTAAAGTTGTAATGCAATTACAAAACATCACATTTCATATACAGTTATGTTCATTTAGTTAGTTATTCCTCACTCCTAATTGAGGCAGTAATGTAGATAAATCCTGTTTTTGTTGTGAATTGGCACAGCGCAAATAAAATTGAAATGAATTACCCACCAATTCTTTTTCACTTCTTCTTTTAAACTGATCAGTAAACAATTTAAAAAGTTCATAGTCTGTGTTTAAAATGATGTAAATAGAGTTTATTATCTTAAAATAAAATGAGTAAGACTGCTGAAAGAGCAGGTTTTGTTTCTAGATAGTTTCTGTCCCATTCAGTGGAGACTGTCCAAAGGCACTAAAATAATGCCTTTTGCAGGCATTGTACACAGTATGTTTTGGTGGCAAAACTTTAAACCTTTATTTCTTCACTGCTTTCATACTGAATACTCTCTGCCTTTGTATGGCAGTGTAGATGGTTTATGGACACTTTCTTCTGTCTGTTCTTGGTCCTCTTACCTCTAGAAGCCATAAAATTGTCAGGTTACTGGTTGGATGATAAGATGCATTCCTCTTTGCTTCTCAGCATGAACATGTGCACAAATGTACCACAACGTGGAATCATAGAATGGCCATGTCAAGGCAGAAGGAGAAACCGGATGTATATTTGATACGGAGTAGAGCTGAAGAGCACAGGTGCAGTCTCTTGTTTGCAGAGAGAAACTACTGTGGTGCACTGATGCAGGTGCAGTACAGTACAAGGCTGATTCTGTGCTCTTACATCAGTCTGCTCACATGCATCTAACTCAACACTGACTCCACTATTCAAACAGTACAAAGGAAGGTATAGGAACTATACTGCCCTGTGGATGCAGTAGCTACATGTTTGGTCAAATCTGAGTTAAAGCCATGGATTTTGAAGCAGATGGCTACCTGGATGACTGAACCAGCATAAATTACTATCAGCAATTATGTGCAGTCTCATCCTGCATTTATAAGAACATGAATGATTCACAGTACTGAGGGACTTCTGCTAATTATGACATATTGACAAGAACAGTCTCTGTCACATAGAAAGTGCTGATGGAATACTGTTAGACAGCTTTAGACCAGCTTAATGCACCTGGCCTGTCCGACTCATCAAGCTGAGCGGTCAGCGAGAGTAACTGAGGGCAAGCCAAAGGCTAAACTATCTTTTGTACACTCACTATATTATTCTGTTACCTCAGTGCTTGGATGGGAATTAGCCCTTGGATGTGATGAGGTGGAATGTTTGTGTGAGTTGTAAGTTAAGTGTGGTTCTCTCCCTCTCTCTGTGTATGGGCTTGGACACGCACACTCACCCACATACACACAAATTCAGATGATTTGAGGCCTTCACTGTAAATCTGTGATAATAGGGAGGCAAGTCCACAGAAAAAATAAAAGTAAAAAATCCAGGTCATGAAATTTTAAGACTTTCAGATTTTAAAACCATGGGCAATTGTCAGAGAGTTAAGAACAAACTATCACAGCTAAATAAGCCTGCAACACTACACATTGTACCTTCGTCATGGAATAAATCTCAATGGACTGGTTGAAATAACTCCAAAAACTTATCATCTAGCCCGTAAAAGCAGTGGTCTAAGTATCACTTTGTGCTTATTGTCATAGTGGTAATCAGCAGTTTTGTATCCCCTGCTGCCTTGTGTTTACCACCAGGCTAGTCCTCAGCATTCATTATATCATGCAAAATTAATGAAAAACCCCAGTCGTAGTTGCTGCCAATTCAGCCTGCACACTGCCTCTGTTAATGCATTCAAAGCAACATAGTCATATGTATGTGTTCGCTCCATACAATCCAAATAAGTTGGTACGGTTGCATTTCAGGGTCAGTCATTAGGTGAAACAATGAAATGATGATTCCAATTGAAACAGATGATGTCAAAAGGTGATTACAATCATGATTTGGTACCAAGGTGGCATCCAGGAAAGACCGAGCCCTTTAGGAGCAAAGATGGGCAAATGCTTTACTGTCCCAACTCATTTTGAAATGTGTCGCAGGCATCAGAATTGAAGTGAGTGTTTATTTTGAACAAAGAATAAAATTGATCAGGTATCACATCAAATAATGTGCTGTTGTATTGTTTTCAATGTAACACAGGACACAGATGATTTACACAACACTATTTTCAGTTTTTATTTATATTTTACATATTGTCCCAACTTTTTCTGATTTGGGGTTGTACATATTGTAGCTTTAATCAAGGAATTAACCATTAAAAATAATATTACTTTGCTGGAACAACCTAAAATTCGCACCCATCCTCCTTTTTGCTTACAGTAGAGTGAATATTCAATATTATAATCCCTAGACTCCCAACTGGAGAGCAACATGATGGGTCACAGCATATGAAGGGGGACATGAGGAGTGTGTTGTTTTTTTGTCAGATCTGTGGTGCCTTTGTCGAGGTGATTCTTACCTCCCAAGTGATACGTTCCTCCCGTGGTGATGGTGAGAGGTGAAGTGGAGCGTACAGCAGACAACTCGTCGCCATCTATTGTCAGTATGGCAAAGTTCTCCTTGGCAATCAAACGCACAGCATGCCATTGTCCATCATTGAGGCCTGAACCTGGAGGAGAATGGGAACAGATAAAGATGCCTTCAAAAGACACAAAACATCTTTGCACATGTTTGAATTGCAAATATCATATTCTAGAGGTGTAAATCTTTCTCAATGTAAGGTTTATGGTCAGACTGCTTGCAACAGGAGTTCTAGTGATACTCCAGTAATTAGAACAAAAATCTTTGCATGAACTTTCCATGCATAAAAATGCTTTGACTGTAGTTGACTTTACCTATACCACAAAGATTTTTACTTTTACTCTTCAAAAAAAAAAAAAAAGTTAACTTTACAGGATGTCAAGGATCTGACAGGGATTTAAAAAAAAAAGATGACTGCACGGCTTATCATGGATGAGAGGTTTGTGTTTGGTAAAACTAGGAAATAAAATTTCTGTCAGTGATGTGTGACTGTCTCTCTCTGTTTACCTTCTTTGTCATAAATCTGTTTTTTTCTTCACAATAATTGCACTCCTGTGTTTTCCTTCTCTTATACCTCCATCTCTGCTGCCTGACAAATGCGGCTTCAGAAAGAGTTAAGACATCAGCTAAGGATCATCCACCCACCTACCATACCATATTTTTTATTCACATACCACACATATTTTCATATATATGCCAGTGTTCCCCAATTATTTTTCCATTTCCTTTTGTTCTCTCACTTCGTCTTTCACTCTACCCTTCCGTAGCTGAGTGCAGCTTTCGGTCTCAAGGCCCCTCTGCCTCAACTCCATTAATTCTCAGAGAAGTCTGAGTACCTGAGTGTGTGTGTGTTCTCTCTGTGCATGCTGCAAGCTTTGGCCAGTCCTTGCAAGTGTGTACAAGTGTGTAAAGTGTTGTGTTGTCTGCATATATCAATGTAGCATGTGTGTGAGAGAGAGTGTGAGTTTTGTGCTCTCCTTTTTCTCTCTCTTCCTTGTAGCTGTGCTCCATTAAATATGAGTGATGTTTTGGAAAGGGACATTACTACTGGAGCCGAGAGAGAAGCCAGCTCACTCTCATCACCCTCTCTTCTATACATCACCTCTTACTGACACCAACCTCTATTCATCCTTCCCTCCATGCCCCTGATTCTTTCTTTCATCTCTCTGTCTTTATTTCCTTCCCTGTATTTCTGCATTTCATGCTTCCTTTTTTCTATCTTGTCTATATAATCCGATCCTTTTGTGACCATCTCCTGCAGTGCCCATCTTTTCCAATTCAGCCAAGCTCAATGTCATATAGCAAGATAATGAGTACACTGTAACAAAGTTCAAGGTACACTCACATGCTAGCACAGTGCTCATACAGTACTCAAGGCTTTGAATGCGAGTAAATGCAAATGTAGCTTAGCGTGCTGAATTTCACCCACACAGTATGTGTAAGAGATTGTGCAAGCTTCTATTAACTTTGTGGGTGGCAGAGTCCATGTGTGTCCATGTTTATTTCTTCCCAGAATGCACTTGGAGATACCAACTTTCACGTCAGCAGGGAGTCGGTACTAATTAATTTCCATCAGCAGGGTGACCATGTGTGTGTGTGAAAGTGTGAGCGTGATCATGGCAGTGACCAAAGGCACTGAGAGCCAAGATGGCCACCTGCCGAGGGCTGTGACTGCTGTGGCTTTATTCAGGGCAGATCTGGTTAAATACAACTCACAGACACAGAAATACACACGTTTGTTTTTATTCCTTGTGGGAGCTTGACATTGACTTGAATTCATTTTTGAATACACTAACCCTTACCCTAACCTTAAACCAAGTCCACCCAAAACATTCACTGAAGGGGACCAGCATCTGGTCTGGAAAAAGGCGAGTCCCTGCACTGTGAGTAAGCACATGCACACTGTCAGAGAGTACATCTGCAATGATGTACAACAAAATACTTTAAGACTGCATTTTTGTTGTACTTGAGAATTCATGAACTGAAAAGTAATAAAGCAAAAAAAAAAAAAAAGAAAATCAGAGGATGGTGCCTGTTTTGTATAGATAACAAATAAGTCGCTTCTAGTAGAAAATAACTGTGATGTGCTTCAATGACATTTCTGATGGTATATTTGTTTGATGTAATCACTGTCAAGCTCTCTGCTTCGTCCTGTCCCACTCTACAACTTCTTGAATGTAATGGAAAATAGATACTGTGCAACCTTTTGTCCTTTCATCTGTTTTACATCACTTGCAATAGCTTTCAATGATGAGCTTATCTGTGAAAGCAGTGTTATTGAATCTTCACACTGAGTGCGGCACATACACCAACACAAGTGTCTGTTTAAATGCACGCTGAATGTTTCACACAGAAATATGTGGTGCCGTCTCTCTTTCTTTCTGTCACATATGCCAAACACACATGCTCAAATCATGCACATGCTGGCTGTCTGCCACAGATAAAGAGAGCACCGATAATGAAGGAGAGTAAAGTAGGAGGAATACAATTGTTCAGATTTGACTAGACAAGACTGTTTTCATGGCTTACTTTGGAGTTGTCATTCATACCATAAGCAGGGGCCTGATAACAAAGTTGGCTGTCTTATGTAGAAATTGTGCTTCGGGTTCACTTGGCTCATCTTATGCCCTCACTTTGAATTCTCAAAAAAAAAGTCTCCAACTTGGGCAAGAATGTCTTTCCAACTGAAAAAAATTAAGTATTAATACAACTGTAAACTGTAAAATGGTGTCATATAATAATCAAATGTGGGCCTAATTATATTATTCAACATAACATGTTACTCAGATTTTTATGTGACATTATGGCCCACTTCTATTTGTCCCTTTCTCCAAGGAAAAACAACTTTTTATGGTCACATAAAACAAGACATTAAAAACAACCAGCCCTATTCATTATTTAAGTCAGCATAGGCACTGATTCAGTCACATTTAGAAACGTTGACACATCATTTTGTAGATAATACTGTATGTATGTCTTAGAGGTGAGCATACAGTACAGTATAGTATAGTCACTGACCTTCTGCACAAACAAGATACCATCTGCTTAAATAACAAATAGTGGTGCATATGAGAAATAAAATTTTGAAGTCATTTTCTGTCATTTTGAAAATCAAAACTAAAAGTGAAATCATTCTTGTAAAAATAACTGTGCCCACAAAATCATTTTGCCTTGGTAAATATGGTCAACAATGTCCTCCTTTTGCCAACTCTGCAGAAGACATACAAGACAGAGTTATCTCGATGGCTCTTGCTACAGCCCGTTCTCATTCTCAGGGTATCAAATACTGATGTTTGTCAGGTACCTGTCACACAGAGATGCTCAAGTGTCCTTGGCATCCCTGGGAGATGCTCAGGGTTTTCAAGTATTTAATGGGCAAAAATTTGGAGGAGGTGACTGGACATGATGGATGGATCAAACAACCGGCAGACTTTATCACAGGGGAGTGGAGTTTGACTCTGGAGCGTAATGCTGCATGTTTTAATCAGTGAGTGTTTTAACCCAACACAGGGTCTTTTCCCTAAACCTAACCACGCACATATTTTTTCTGCCTAAAAATAATTATGATGGTTTAGTGACAAAACACATGCTCTAGTTTATATGTATAAATCTGAGGTGTTTACTGATGCTTTGTGAAGTATTGTACATTTGTCAAGTGGGTTAAAACTGTTCTGTATTGAAAGCCCTGTGCATCTCCCACGCAGGTCAAAGGTACCCTTATGTGACACAAAGGTACTTGACAAAATGTCAGTATTTGACATCCTGGAATAAGAACGGGTTGCTTGCTCAGAACACCTATGGTCACTAAGCATACACACACACTAAAAAAACAACAACAAAAAAGAAAATAAAAAACTGGTTCCATTTTATTCTTAGAAGAGAGAGGTTTTAAAATGAGGCGCACTATGCTGCTGGTGTTCTGTCTGTCTGAGACATGGGCTCAAGGAGCGAGCAAAGGAGCTGACCAAGGCTTAGTGGGAAGGATATCTGGGATGAGCCGAGAGCTCTGAGAGATATGGTGGTGGAGCAAAGGGTGAAAGCCTGGAACACAAGGCCAATCTACAAACCCAGGGAAACAAAGGAGCTGGGTTTGAGAAAAAGAACACAGGTAGTAAATCAGCCACATCTGTAACATTAAGCTAGGAATGCAATGATTTTTCATGGAAATTACAATTATTCTTGTTAAGAAGTAATCTGCCAATATTTTTAGTAACATGGACAGATACATGGGTCAGAAAACACAGGACTTTCATACAAGAAATGATGATGATGATGAGGGTTATTTTACTTCAAACCAAGTAGTGTTTGTGCCACAACCTAAATGTAATGTTGTCATGATTGTTTCCTTGACAATGAAGGTCTCGAGCGGTTAAACAGTCATACGGAGGGTATGACTGTTATCATGACAGCAGCATGTAGCTGGAAACGTTCTTGGGGTCATATCCTAAACTGATGTATATTGACGTTTATGTAGAAGAATCTGTGATTTTCTATAAACAGGCAGATTCACTGACTAATTGTTTCAGCTCTATATTAGACAAAACCCAAATAAGGTTAAAGTAACCATGAGTTAACTTAGTAATCTAATTGGTTGGGTAAATCATTATGCACACTTGTGAATGCCATATCCTTTATAATTCAGTAAATATAAACACAAAATTGATGTTGTAATTATTGTAAAATTAAAATTATATGTTTAAAATATTCCAAACAAGACTTATGGCTTTAAAAAGTCTATGCAGGGATGGCAGATGGAAATTAGCCAGTAGATAAATGTAGTACAATATAAAATGCTTTGCATAAGATTAACACTTATTATACATTGTCCATGACGTTTAAAATAAAATTGCTGTTTTCTTGTTATAAGTTATTGCCAAAAAAAGAAATACCCTACAGTGAGAGGCAACAGGAGATTGGACATTTCAATAAAAGGCTTTTATGGATGATAATTCAATAAAAAAGCTTTTATGGATACAAGTTAGATATAGTGCTATATCAACAGAAACAGACAGTAACAGGCCAAACATATATTTTTATGAAGATGCTGTGCAATACTACATTACACAACCTTACTTAAGAAGAAACCAA